ATGGCCTGTATCAGATGCACCTTAGTCTCCAAAGAGATACCATTGCTCTTCAACACTTTGGAGAGGTCCCTAACAGACTTTCCCATGGCAATGTGCCTTTTAATTTCCTGGCTGCTGGTACCAAGACTGTTGACTATGGAGCCAAGCAAACTAAAGCTGTGTACAATCTCAATCTCTTCACCATCCATCAGTATTATATGAACTATATCAAGCTAAAACTATAGATATTTGTAGTAACTATAAAGAAATATTATATGAAGGTTAAAAAACTTACTTTTAAGGCTTCCCATAAAGGAAACTGGACCAAAGAGAAAGGAATCTGTAGAGAGAATTAAAAATAAGTAAATAAAGTGGGAATGATCTAGTATTACTAAAGCAATTTATATTATTTAGCAAAAGGTAGTTCATTTTAATTTTATGTATTTAACAAAGCTAATGTTGAACATATTAATATATACACAGTATTTTTTAAAGAGTTAAAATATAACTGCCTAAAGAATCCTACTGACTTTTTTCAGTCCAATGGATATAAAATAATGTTTTTGTTTTATAAAACAATGTTTTAAAGCTCTTTAAAAGTAGGAGGAATTACAATACAAAGAGGCTACTGAAATAAAAACTAAATAGTTTCTATCACAAGTGAACATATCATATGCAAGCAAAATATTGCTGATGATTGTCTGAAAACTGCCAGAAGTTCACGCTGGGTTTAGAAGAGGCTGTGGCACCAAGGATTTCACTGCAGATCTCAGACAGATCCTGGCTAAAATCAGAGAACACTAGAAGCATGTGTTTCTATTTTATTAACTATGTTAAAGCATTTGACTATGTGGATCATAACAAACTGTGGCTAACATTGAGAAGAATAGGAATTCCAGAACACTTAATTGCACGTATGTGGAATTTATACCTGTTGTCCAAATAGAGCAAGAACACTGTATGGTTCAAATTCAAGAAAAGTGTTGTGTCAGGGCTGTATCCTTTCTCCATACCTATCCAATTTGTATATTGAATGATCATTTGAGAGAGAAGCTGGACTCCATGAAGAAGAATGTAACATCAGAATTGGAGGAAGACTTATCAACAGCCTATGTTATGTGCAGATGACACAACTCCAGCTTGCTGTGAAGAGGACTTGAAGAGTTTGCTACAAAAGACCAAAGATTATAATCTTCAATATGGATTATAGTTCAACATCAAGAAGACAAAAATCCTCTGGGCTGATAAGCAACATCATAATGTTGTTGTTTGTTGTTATATGCCATCGAGTCGCTTGTGACTCATAGTGACCCTATGTATAAGAGCTCAATATGATCTTCTATCCTGTGCCAAACTAGCCATCTCAAACGCACTTATTCCCACCACTCCAGTCACAGAATCGATCCATCTCATCAAAGATCCTCCTGTCCTTCGCCGCCCCTCCACTCTGCCAAACATGACGTCCCTCTCCAAGGACCAGTCCCTCCTTGCAACGTGCCCAAAATATGTCAGATGAAGCTTCAGAATCCTTGACTCCAGGGAACATTCTGGCTTCACCCTCTCCAGGACAAACCTGTTTGTTCTCCTAGCAGTCCATAGTATATTCAACACTCTTCTCCAGCACCACAGCTCAAAGGCATCAATTCTCTATCAACCCTAGTCACTGTCCAACTCTCTGATGCATAGCACGTAATTGCAAAGACTATAGCCCGGATCAGGCACACCTTAGTCTCCAGTCTGACATCATTGCTCTTCAGTACTCTTGAGAGGTCCCTCACAGCCGACTTTCCCAATGCAGTGATTTTCTGGCTGCTGTTACCAAGAGTGTTGACCGTGGAGCCAAGTAAACTAAAACTGTTAACTATCTCAATCTCTTCATCATCCATACTGATGCTGCCAATTGGCCCAGTGGTTAGAATCTTTGTTTTCTTAATGTTGAGTGAAAAGACTGAAATTGTCAATGATTCCATCTGACTTGGATTCACAAACAACATCCATAGCACCCGTAGTCAAGAAACCAAAGCATGTATTGCATTGGGAAAGCCTGCTGTCAGAGGACTCTACAAAGTATTGAAGAGCAATGATGTCAGTGTAGAGACTAAGGTGCACCTGATTCAGACCAGGGTCTTTTCATTCACTTGCTATGCATCTGAGAGCTGAACGATGAATAAAGATGAAAGAAAGAAATCAATGAATGAAGAGAAACTGATGCCTTTGAGTAGTGGTTCTAAAAAAAGAGTAGAGAACATCCTACGGACTGACTACCAAAAGAATAAAGAAAATAAACAAGGAATGTCTTGGGGGAGTTACAGCCAGAGTGCTCCGCAGAGACAAGGATGGTGAAGCTTTGTTTCACATACTTTGGGCAAGCTGCTAGATAGGGTTAATCTTTGGGAAACAACCTTATGCTGGGAAAGGTGAAAGGTCAGAAAAGGAGACCTTCAATGAGATGGACTGACACACTGACTGCAGGAACAGGTTGAAGATTGTCAGAGATGATGAGGATGGTGTAGTACAGGACAGGATTCAGATCCGTTGTCAACAAGCTAGGGTGTGTCATATGTATAACACAGATTGAGATCGCTAAGAGTCATACTCAACTTGATGGAACATAACAAAAACATCATAAGTAAAGTAAATAGTTCCTAACTCAAGAGCTGTGGTGGCCTAGCGGGTGGGGAGCTGAGCTTTCAACTTTCAAGGCAGGTGTTTAAATCCAGCAACTGCTCCAGAGGAGAAAGACAGGCAATCTCCTCCCTTATGATGAAAACCAACCAGACGGTCAGTTACGAGTAGGTTCTGACTGGATGGCAATGTGTCAGTGAGTGTGTGATCATAAGCAATGGAGTCCCTAGGCAGTACAAAAGTTAAACATTTAATTACTAACTGAAAGCTTGCTAGTTCAAATCCACCTAGAATAACTCGGAAGACAAGCCTGACAATCTGCTCACACAGCATGCCATCCTTGAAAGCCTATGGACAAGCTCTACTCTGAGCACACGGAAGTGCCATGAAATGGAACCACCTTGATGGCAATTAATGACAATCATGAATAGTAAAGACTAAAGACTGGCATTTTTCTTCTGAGAGTTACAGATGTCTCCTCTTTATAGTAGTTCAAGTGTTTGAACTGGGTAAAAACAGGAAAGGAAAGAAGAAGAAAGAGAGGTAATTAAAAAGTGACAGGGCTGCAAGAGACAGGAATAAGAAAAGGAGAGGGAGTGAAGAGACTAGGGAGAAGGGGAGGAAGAAGGGAAGGAAGAGAAAAGGGGAAAGAGAAAGACGAGTGTAGAAAGGAGGTTCAGAGAGCAAGAGAAGGAGACAGGAAGGTGAAAGTATGAGGGGGCAGTGAGGAGGGCAAAACAGAGAAGGGCCAGGGAAAGAGAACAGCATGTGCTCACAACAGCATATTCACAATAACAAGAAAATGGAAACAGCCCAAATGTCCATAACAAATGAATGGACTGAGAAATTACAATATACTCACATAATGGAATATTATGCAGCACTGAGGGGCAACAATTTTGTAAAATATCCTATAACAAACACAGGAGAGTCTAGAGAGCATTATACTGAGTAAACTATCTCAGCCTCCTAAACGACAAATGCTATATAAGACCATTATTGTAAAAACAGAAAGATAACTAGTAAGAAGTAGATAGAAGTCCTAAAGGGGAGGAGGTGGGGGACAATGGGACAGAAGCTGAGGAAGGGAGGAGGCGAGGAAATCACTAGGACAGCAGAGTCTGATGGGCAGACAGAGTGAAAGGATTAGGAAAGATCCAGGGGGACCTGAAAACACAATGTATATGAGTGATGATTTGAAACACAGTGTAAGTTTTGTTATGTGTAAAATGCAATGCAATGTATATGAATGATATACAATGTATACAAATTTTGTAAGCAAACCAATGTTGCTGCTGTTGTTACATGCTGAGTCAACCACTCACAGCACAACAGCTCTGAACCCTGCTCTATCCTGAGCCAATCCCACTGTCTCCAACACACCTACCCTCATTACCCTAGTTACTGTGTCAATTCTTCTCATCTGGGGTCTTCCTCTCCTGAGTTGTCCCTTCACCCTTCTAAGCATGATGTCTTTCTCCAAAGACTGCTCTCTCCTGGCCACATGTCTGAAGTATGTGAGACAGAGTTTCAAAATTCTTGCCTCTAAGGAGCAGCTTGGTTTTCTCCACCCTCTATAGGACAGACCTGTGCGTTCTCTTGGCATGTTCAATACTTTTCTCCAACACCACAACTCAAAGGCAATGATTCTTCTTCTGCCATCTCAGCTCTCTGATGCATAACAAGTAACTGCAAATACCAGAGCCTGGATGAGGTGCACCTTTGTATCTAGATTGACATAATTTCTCTTGAGCATTCTGGAGAGGTCCCTGACAGCAGATTTTCCTAATGCGATTCATCTTTTGATTTTCTGAATGCTATTGCCAAGAATGCTGATTGCAGAACCAAGCAAGCTGAAATTGTTAACAATCTCAATCTCTTCTCCAACTATCATGATGCTGTCAATAGGACCAGTGGTGAAAATCTTTGCTTTCTTGAGTTGCTTTCTTAAAATTTAATTTATATTGCAAATTACAGTCCTTGACCCTCTACAGCAAATGTTTCAGGCCTCCTCAGTTTCAGCAAGCAAGGTTGTGTATTAGCATGGCACAGGTTGTTGATAAGTCTCTCGCTATTCCTGAAGTCTTTCTCTACTCCTGATATCACATTTCTTCTGATAAAGTCCAGCCACCCAAATGATCTCTTTTGCATACAGATAGAATAAAAATAAAGCGGGAAGGGAGAGAAAAAAAGTAAAACTAAAAAGAGTTGGCTGAGGAACAGGACTCCAGAACCAGAGCTGTCTGTCGGGTCACTAGTCCACTTCCTCCAAATGGCGAATCGCCGATCAGTATTGGAGAAATGAATACACACTAAGTGGATTGAAATGGTGCTAAAAGTCTGATTTAGTACAAGGTGCAGTCAGAGAGGGGTCATCTGTAATAAGGAAGAGGGGGTGGTCAGATATCATTAGAATCCCTGTATTTCTAGAATTAGCCAGCTGCTGCTACATCAGCCTCAACTTGCAGTAACTCATGTGCAACCCACAGTGAAACATGTCCCCTACCGTTAACTAGTTCACCTAGGCCATGGCTGCCAGACAGGTACTCAACTCCTCAGGCCTGGGACAAAGCAGGAGAAGCCGGCTGTTGGCCTAAGCTGAGAAGAAAGCTGCTGTTAAAGGGACGGCCCCTCAAAAGACCTCTTGTCCTTTGAGCTGTCATCACCTTGGTGGACAATGAGAAGGTCCAGCTGGTAGGATCCCTCGAGTTGGTT